TTGTGATGTACTTCAGTTTAAAATCATTGTATACATTTCTTTGTGCAGATGTATATCTAAATATTTCTGTAGAGTAGATTTTTAGAATCAGCATGCACATTTTAAGTGTTGAGTAGATATTTTCAAACCTGCTGAATCAGAATCGGTATTTTTCAAGACCCTCAGGTGATTAGTGTGCACCTGAACTCCTGAGAAGCACCTGTCGACACTCCCTAGCAATGAGTAAATAGCAGTCCTCCAGGTCCATGGTTGGCAGTGCCCACTCCACATGCCAGAGACACTGTAGGGCCATTTCAGGTGAAGGTGAACTGACTCCCACCCGCAGAGCCCCATCCTATCATTGTCAGGAGTTACGGCACCGAATATCTCCACCCTCTTGTAAGAGGCAGGAGGGTTCACGCCCTCCCCATGGCCACTCTGCTAGCACAGCCCATCCTGGAAGACCATAGATAATGGGCTTAGCAATGGGCACAACATTTTGAAAGGCCCATAACCTCTGCTATATGTAGCAGAAATCAATATATATCACTCTTATTTTTATATACTAAACACTAAAATATTTGTAATTTATCCATGATCGCTGGTTTATTGTATGTCATTAATTATCAATATTCTCCCCATAAGAAATTCTTACAAGAACTGAGTAAATCTGTAAAGAAAAGTGACTGCTGAACAATGAGATGGCTAACATGATAGAAGAAGATAGAATAGTGGCTAACCTGATAGAATATTTCAGTTATTTATTTTATGGAGTTACATATTTTTGGATTGGCATTTGAGCTAAATGACCATTTGTCTATTTAATGAACATTTGTTGGGTGACTATGAGTCAGAATTGACTCTATGGCAATGGGTTAAGTTCTGGTTTACTATGTAATAGACCTGGTCTAGCCACTGAGGATATAAATATATATAAGTCTGTTCCAAAAGAATAGTTCATATTTAAGTTAAATTGCCAGGCCTTGAATTCTGATTCTCCCACTTGATATTTTTTGACATTAAGTTAATTAATTCTGTAAGCCTCAATTTCCCTTCTATAAATGAGGATATTATTAGTACTTCACAGCTTTGGTGTGAAGATTACTTCTAAAGAATTTAACATCATATAGTAAGCACTAAACACATTTTAGGTACAATTATTTGCTACTCTTCAATGTCCTGCAGGTGAAAGGATTTTTAAAAAGTAGAAGTCAGAAGATAGCTTAATATTGGGCATTGTGTCTAAGTAGTCAACAGATAGTTAACCAAAACCAAACCAAACATACTGCTGTTGAGTCGATTCCAATTCCTAGCAAACTTTTAGGACAGAGTAGAACAGTTACATAGGGTTTTTAAGGAGTGGCTTGTGGATTCAAACTGCCAACCTTTGGTTAGCAGCTGAGTTCTTAACCACTGCACTACCAGGGCTTCAAAATCAAACCTGTTGCCGTCGATTCAATTCCAACTCATAGAGACCCTACTGGAGAGAGTAGAGATCCCCCATAGGGTTTCCAAGGCTGTAATGTTTATGGAAGCAGGCTGTCACATTTTTCTCCCACCTAGCAGCTAGTGGGTTTGAACCACCAACCTTTCAGTTAGCAGCCAAGTTCTTAACCACTGCGCAACCAGGCCTTCTTGGTACAACTGATAGTTAGGGGTTCATAAATTCACCCAAGCAGTGTTTGTTGAGTGCTGACTATATGTTAAGCAAAGCTGGCAGGAAAACGATGGACAGTCTCCAGGTCCTGCCCTCCCGGAGCTCACCATCTTATACGTAAAACTTGATTTCTACCTGAGCAATGTTCTGTAAATACCACCTGAAGGATTATATGTTTTTGAAAACCAAAATTGAAATCTGAGCTCCTTTGTCTTGGGAAAGGTCTCTTTAAAGATAAAAAACTAGAAAAAGTCCATTCTGATTCTCCCGATCTGAGGAACAACAATATTTTCTTCCATTGTTTTCTGTTTCACTGGCCAGCTCATCCCAGAGTCCTCCTCTGTCCCAGACCCCGGAAGCCACAGCAATTTCTTGCTCCCTCATCCAATTTTTTCACACACCAGTTCAGAGCCAGGCCTCATTCTTTAGCAGATGCAAGTCTTGTTCTGTCTAAAGCCCATACCTATCCCTTGGATGTTGTCTTTGTGTCAACCTTGTGATTTCTCTGTCTTTACCCACAGATATGCTCTAAGGAGGTTTGTCACACAGTGGTTATGACCACAGGGTCAGGGATGAGAGTGCCCTAATTCCATCCTGGACTGGGAATTTGTTAGCTGTGGGTCACAGGGTAAGTTACTCAGTCTCTCTGTGTCTCATTTTCCTTATATGGAATCATGGATTGCCTTCAGAATCAAAGGGCTTTTATGAGGATTAAATGAGATAGTATATGCAAAATGCTGAGAGTAGTGACTGGCCCACAGTCAGAGAGAAAGGTAACACGGGGAGAACAGAGACAGAGAAGTGAGACAGACAGATAGACAGACAGACTTGACTGTCTTCGTTCTGGGTTCTGCTGTTGTTGTTAGTTGCTGTTGAGTCATCTCCAACTTTTGGCGACCTTACGTACAACAGATCAAAACAATTTCAAGTTTGTGAGAATGTTATCCTTTAACAGTGAAAGTTCACCACCTTCATGAACATTGTTTATTTGAATCCATTTTTGTGGCTATTGTGTCAATCCATCTCATGGAGGTTTCCCTCGTTTGTGTTGGCCCTCTACTTTAGCAAGCAGATATCCTTTTGTAGCAACTGGTATATGATAATGACATGTTCAAAGTAAATGAGTTAACTCTTTTTTGGTCTGTAGCAAATACAGTGGCCCGCCCATTTTTTCTGACTCTCAAGTTTCTTTGTAGTCTACTTTTTCTGCCAAAAGTATTTGCTGCCCTCTAGTGGGGACTTGTGTAACAGTGAAGGGTGAAAGAAATGTTCTTTGAAGGAATATAGCTGGAGTTTGAGACTTAAATTTGAGGTATTACATCCAGAATTTGTGATTGGGCAAAAATTTTGACTTTTTTTTGCTTTTGTACCCCTAGATAAACCTTGTAAGCATATTTATAATTTCCTGTGTGATTGTTAGGGAGCTCTGGTGGGTGTGGTTTTGTTTTTTATTTCATATTTGGAAAAACATTTTCCCATGTAACCTAACAGAACATGCCACACAATACATTCAGCAACCAAGGGCCACTGGGAAAGAAAGCTGCCCACCAATCATGGTGCCCAAGAACTCCAAGTGTTTTGTGGTAACCATGTATTCCCACATAATATTTCTCAAAATCCATTTTACCAATCAAAAATTCAAACACACTCCATGGTTCCATTAAGGAAAACACATGGCATCAAAAAACAAGAAAGAAAGAAATTAAGGAGAAAATAATTAGAGCAAGAAAGGGTAAAGTCTTGCCATCCTTGCTCATAAGGAGCATTGTGGTTGTATTTCTTCTAGGACTGGTTTGTTCATGCTTGTGGCAATCCATGGTTTATTCAATATTCTTTGCCAGCACCACAGTTTGAATACATTAATTCCTCCTCTATCTTCTTTTCTCATTGTCCAACTTTGCATGCATATGAGGTGATTGAAAAGACCAGCACTTGGGTCAGGCCCACCTTAGTCTTCAAAGTGATGCCTGGGTCTTGGCTGAACTAAACCAACATGTCAGTGGGAACAGCTTCCAGTCTCACTTTCTCCCCTGTGCTCCTCTAAAGGTCCACTGCTCCTTGGTGACTCTGCCTATAGGATTCACCGTCCAGCACAACCAGCCACGCATATGATGTTTGGTCCTCCAGGCTTCTCGGGGCCCAGGCCAGCTCACTGTGGCACCCATTAGGATGTGCAGAAGCTGAGGAATAGCTAAGCCTTGTCTTTATTCAATAACACTGATATTGATATGAATCTGCCAAATATAGAGTGCTGAGGAGCCAGACTGTCCAGGAAAAAGTCTGGAGTTTGGTACTTTCTGGTATGTGCACCTATAAAATAGAGTGATAATTGGACCTTTTTCATGGATTTCTTCTGATGGTTAGATGAGGAGATCCTTGAACCATGACTAGCCACGTGTGGTATACGGCACCGAAGAAGTGATTGATACAATGCTAGCTATTATTATAAAATCCATTTTGTTTTTACATTGAGTAAACTCTCCCTGGGGTTCTCCCCCTACGACAATGTGCAGAGTTGGGATGAGTACTTCTTAACCCCCAAGTGAAGGACACATATTCATTCCTATGAATAAGCCTTTTGTTCAGTCTTATTGTGAAGCTGACAATGGCTTTAGCAGCAAGTAGCCATGTTCATCACAGAGCAGGGTAGAAAATGGACTTTATAGGTAACACCCTGGGCAGTCACCTGAAAGTGTGGAGACTCACCCCTGACCACTGAATTTGTGAACTACATTTAATCAGCAAAAGACAATTCACCACCAACATTAACAGCTATATACGGACACGCACTATTCGGTAAAATTTCCTATTTAAAGGTCAATAAATTCTAACGAGGAAAATGATGCACATCTGGTGTGGCCAAGGTGGAAGTGTTGACGAATAGAACCTGGAAAACATTGCATAGACATGGAGTGTGTGTGTGTGTGTGTGTGTGTTGTATGTATTTCACATCTCAACCCTCAGTTTTCTGGAAAATCCATGAACAACCCACATGGTTTTCTTTGATACCCATGATCAGCCTACTCAAGGAGAGAGAATGCCCAGTTTGGACTTTTTGCCATGACCTAACCAGTTGATTTCCAAATTTGTAAATATCATCTGCAATTTTACTTTTCTCCTCTCTCCTATATATCTTGTTTTAGCTTTGTTCTTTTACTCAGTTTATTGGTTAACTCCCTTATGTGAGCCAATAATTTTCATACAAAAATTCTCAACAACATGCAACATAAGTAAATATCCCTGACTTATTCTTGACAGGGCAAGTGCAAAGGTAGGAAAGGGGACATGATGCCATGGGTGTAAGGATCACGTCCCTTGGCTGCAGCATTTTTTTCCAACCAAATCCTGTGACATCTGTGGTGAATGAGTTTGCACAGCCAGATTAGGGAGATAGCCTATATTCAACTTTTAGGACGCAGAAAAGTGAATTAAAATAACTTTTAATGTTATAAATACTCATCTCAATGAGCAATCAAAGAAAAAAATTATATTCAATAAAATCATATCTGACAGTCAAATGCAAGAAAGTTAAAAATTTTCTGCAAAGGAAGAGGTTAGGCATGCTCTCAGTTATTAAAACACAGACACGGGAGAGAAGTGAACTTGTCCTGATTTAGGCAGTCATCAGCTTCCAGACCATGGACCTACATGGGCTGATGATCCAGGGGTCACCCCAGTCAGGACTGACTCTCCTTGCATAGCACTCTCCGCAAGGCACCCTTCACCTCTGCGTTCCTCAGGCTGTAGATCAGGGGGTTCAGCACTGGGTTGAAAATGCTGTAAAACAGGAAAAGGACCTTCTGCTGCTCCTCAGGGTGGCTGGATTTGGGAGCCATATATGTGACAATAGCGCTGCCAAAGAAGAGCCCGACCACGCAGAGGTGGGAGGAGCAGGTGAAGAAGGCCTTTGTGCGGCCCTCCCTGGACTGGATACTCAGGATGGCAAAGAGGATGCGAGTGTAGGAGACCAGCACCAGGCACAGAGCCGCCACTAAGACAAACACACAGTCTGCAAAGATGACCATGACGTTGAGCCGGGTGTCTGCACAGGCCAGCCTCAGGACAGACAGGATTTCACAGAATAATTGGTTGATCTCATGAGGCCCACAGAAGGGCAGCCTCAGGAGAAGGACCACATGGACCAGAGCTAGGAAGGAGCCATATGCCCAGGCAATGACAGCCAGGGTGATGCAGAGCTTCCAGCTTATGATGGCAGAGTACTGGAGAGGGTGGCAGATGGCCACATAACGATCAAAGGACATGACCACCAGGAGAAGACATTCTGTGTGGGCGAAGGCCATAAAGAGAAAGGTCTGTGTGATGCAGCCAGCAAAGGAGATGGGTGTGGTGGGACTCAGGAGATTCACCAGCATCTGGGGCACCGTGTTGCAGGCATAGGCTATGTCGACAATGGCCAGGTGGGAGAGGAAGAAGTACATGGGGGTGTGCAGTCTGGCATCCAGTGAGATGAGCCCCAGGATGGCCCCGTTACCCAGAAGGGTGAAGGCATAAGACAGGGAAAAGGGCCCAATGAGGAGCATCTGAACTGTTGGGCCAAGACGAAATCCTAGTAGGACGAACTCTGTGACTGATGTCTGATTTTCCCCCATTTCCCTGTGAAAGAGACAATCAGATAGCTCTGTTACACAGTTATTTTAAAACGCCTTCTTTATTTATTGTCACATTAATTTTTAATGCATGAAAAATTATTAGTAAATGTCTTTAAGATCTCATTCGATTATAAATAAACAAATGAAGACTTAGCTATTTTTTAAAAATTTTAATAAAGAGTTTGTCTAAATTCTTAATCTGACATCAATTTTACAGAAGCGAGTTGTGTCATGAGTAAATTGGTGCCTAGAGCCATTGATGCCTGATGGACAGAAAAAAATATCAAATCAGAGTACAAAGAAAATAATCACGAACTATAGATAGTTTCTCAGCTGCATATGTCCAAATTAGTAAGAGAATATTTTGAAGAGTAAAAATTACCAGTGATGGAAGAACCTTTAAAATGAGAATAGTCTCAGAAAGAAAAACACTTTGACTTCAGTAGAAATCATGATTGAGTCAATCTCAGTATCTAAATCTTTACTTGAGAATCTCATGTCATGCCTTACATGACAATATAAAAAGCAAAACATTTTATAACGATGTTTTTGGTTAGGGAGTGGGAAGGAAGAAGTGGATATGTATATCTCTATCATTTCTATCTGGATCTCTAACTTCATCTCAATTTGTTTATACACATATTCATATATGCACACATACATTCACACGTATATGCTGTGTGTGTGTGTGAAATACATATATTTACTTTGGAAAATGGGAACAAACCAACATTTGGCAATATAACAACTGGTCAACTGAGTGATTCACAAAATTATTAATATACCCAAATAATTTTTCTAATGCAACCCGTATTGTTTAGGGTAATTGGTATTTCATCTTCCATCTCAGAGTTACAAGCTGGATCCCTGTGTGCACAGTATAAGTGGGTTTGCATTCCTGTATGCTCACAAGAATTTCCATGGTCAATATGGTGGGTGCATATGGACACATATGTGAAAACAATTGCAGGTATAACTCCCCCTTGTGCCACCTGTATAGTCCTCTTTTCTGTTTTGTCTCACGAGTGGAAAATCTATGAATCAAGAGAATAAAGAAGGCCATGGCCTGGAATGAAAATATGAAGAAAATAAACCCACCCTGCTGTTAATTCAACCCTTGACATTTGTAACATGCCCTGTACCTGAAATCCAAAATAGTTGCCAACCTCAACCATAAGAAATGAGATATACTTTAGAAGTGAATAATAGAAACAAATAATTGACAAATTGCTAAGTCAGTTTCTTTGTCACTTGGCAAATGGTAGCATCAACTAATTGGCTGTCAGATGTTTAGTCTATGAATTATGCTAAATTAACAAATCGGGCTTTGTGAACTTGGAGCTTGGGTCATAGCTTCTTCAATGAACAATGTAGAAATTCAACACGTTATCTAGTGCAGACACTTGTCAGTGCATTGCAAGGGCAAAAGAACTGAAACATCTTCCTCAGGATTAATGCAAGGAAAGGTGCTGATTTGAGGCAGTCCCTGGTTTAGTGGTCAATGGAGATGTCAAGTTAGTATTCCCCTGGGAGCTTGAATATAAGATGCATTCTAGAAATAAACCTGTGAAACCAACATGCAACTATAAGAATAGCAATCCAGAGGGTAGAAACAAGACAACATCAGGGAACATGTAACTGGAGACTGTGGAGAGCCCCAAAACCACTCAAGGTGCCTTTGCGCAGAGAAAGGGGTACGCATGCAACTGTGATTCAGTAAACTGGATATAGTTAGTTGCGTGGGGAACCTGTCTGCAGAAAGACATTGTAAAGGGAAGGATGGGGTCCATTTGGAGTGTAGACAACAGACCAGAGGGACAGCATTTGCCAACACATCTTTAAGGACATCCAGGGGAGGGGGAGCCTGGGCAGTTGACCCTAACCCCTGAAGTTCTATGTCTACAGTCTAGATGGATGGCTTGGGTCATCTGTGATCAATAATTCTAGCCATGCGAGATCTCTGATTAATCCCCCTTTGCTCTAATCCTGTGCTCCCCGATATGCCATTAGGCAATAGTTTATCCTTTTGTGCAGATATTTCTGCAAAGGAAAGTGCTCATCAGCAAAGTTCTTGGCCCATTTCACAGTACAATTTTAAATTTTAAATAAACAAATAGACACTCTGGCTTATTTACTGTCCTGTTGAGGTCATAGATGGCATGGTGCCATTCCTGAACACACTTCCCAAAGCTGGATCTACAAAGTGAAGACCTGACCCTGGAGCGAAGCGTCATCATTGAAGTGAGACTCAGGAGAATCACCAGAACCCCTGCGAGCCATTGCAGCTGGGATGCCTGTTCTCTTACAGGCATTACTGATAAATTGTCAAGTCATCCGGACAAAATGCAAGCTAAGCAATGTGTTAAAACTTCCACACACATGACCAAGGCTTAGCTGATTTTCAGGTTACTGTGACAAATGTCTGCATCCCACAAACCTTCTAATTGTTTTCTTTTTAATTGTGATTTATGTGAAATTTTACAGAAAAAATTAGTTTCTCATTAAACAGTTAATACACAAATTGCTTTGTAACATTGGTTTGCAACCCTGTAGTGTGTCAACACTCTCCCCTTCTCCATCCGTTTCCCTGTTTCCATTTGTTCATTTTTCCTGTCCCTTCCTGCCTTCTCATCTTTGTTTTTGGGCTGGTGTGCGCATTAGTCTTGTAAACATGATTGAACCGTGAAGCACAGGCCTCACTTGTGTTATTGTTGGCACTGTGAAAAAACATCCAAACCTGTTGCTGTTGAGCCGATTCCGACTCATAGTAACCCAACAGGACAGAGTAGAACAGCCCCATAGGGTTTCCAAGGAGCAGCTGGTGGATTCGAACTGTCAATCTTTTGGTTAGCAGCCGAGCTCTTGACCTGTCTAATCTTTGGCTGAAGGGTGAACCTCAGAAGTGACTTCAGTACTGAGGTAAAAGGGTGTCTGGGGGCCATACTCTTGGGGTTTCTCCAGGCTTTGTCAGGCCAGTAAATTTTTTTTTTTTTTTTGTGAATTTGAATTTTGTTCTACATTTTTGTCTTACTCTGTCCGGGACCCTGTATTGTGATCCCTGCCAGAGCAGTCAGTGGTGGTAACCGGGCACCATCTAGTTGTTCTGGGCTCAGTTTGGTGGACGCTGTGGTAGTTGTGGTCCATTATAAACTCATTTTTTAAACACATATACTTGACTATGAACGATGCAGTTAAATCTACCCACTTATAAACCTTCTTTTTCTAATTCTCCTTTGTCTCCCTCTGCGATGCTCAAGATGAAAACAAAGGAAAAAGGAAACACTGTGCAAAACACGGGTTTTTAAAGCTAAACTGTAAGATGGCTACAAAAGGTCAGAGAGCATGAAGATTTCTTTAGCACAGTTGCTCTGTTTGTTTTCAGCTTGATTTCTTCTTGGGCAGTGGAAACTGCTTTTTTATACCTTCATTTTTTTTTTTTTACTCATTTTTGTATCACTGGCAGTTAATAAACATTTGTTGGCAGACAAACAAATGAATTAACATAAATAGACAAACAAGCACCTAAATGTTGATTTCCTTATATTCAGCAGGATTTCTTTTACAATATAATTATGTCAAGTTCACCCCATTCCTCCAAAAGAAAATAAAAGTACAGCAGTACCGAAGAATTTTACCCCCAATGATCTGATTAAAACAGGACATTTAAAATTTGATAGGAACAACAGAAGAATTTTCAGAGCATTTAAACGATTGAATTTTGGATATACTTCTCTTTTTTTTAATTTTTCCCTTATTTTATTTGATACTTAAATGACATATCTAATGTTAGTAAAAAACAAACAAAACTCAAACAGGTTCCGTTTCCTAGGGGAAGATGAGAGGGGAAGGGGACAGCTTGAAATGTAGCCCAGTTCCAAATGTAACTTTCGGGCGTAGTCATGTGGTGTAATGGTTAAAGTGTCTGTCTGCTAACCGGAAGGCTGGCAGTTCAGATCCACCCAGTCACTCCTTGGAAACGCTCTGGGACAGTTTTGCTCTGTCCTATAGGGTCGCTATGAGTCAGGACTGACTTGACGGCAAGGGGTTTGCTTTTTGTCTTTATCACTATGTGTCAGAACCAACTGACAGCACACAACAGCGACATATATGTACAATGATGGAATTTAAAGAACGGGATATTGTCATGTACTTAATATATAACCAGGCAACTCTAAGGTTCTAAAGCAGATCTCTAAGAAGGAAATCATCTCTTCATATATTGACAAAGCTTCGGGACTTGATGGAACCTGTATTTCAAATAGTAAGGGTCAAAGTTTGATGAGCTGGCAAGATCTTTCCTAAAATAGTGGGCATGAGTAAAGCAGAATTCCTAATAAAGTGATCACCTATTGTGACTTCCATAACTCATCTGCAGTGTACGGCTGACAACACGTCCGTCTTCCTGCCTGCACAGTTATAAGCCCAGATTTGGTAAAGTTGACTTACGGGGTGAGGGTTGAGAGGTGAGTGACGTTCTGGGTGCAGGAACTCCTTTGGACCATGGACAAGAGCTGAGTGCCAGTCTCATGTAATCACAGGTTCTCCTGTTACAGGCTGATCATCACTGATGGTCTCTATGGAGTGATTCCTATGTTCCGGCACTGCAGAAGCAGGTAGGGAAGGAGGTTGATGGTTCTGACCTTCGTGGAGATTTTCTTGTGTAAAGAACAGGAGAGACAGAATTTGTAAGTAAAAAGGCACACATTAAACATAGAACTCGTACAAGAAAACCTGATGCATTATTGATGATCTCACCCTTCTCCCACCTTGAGGTAACACTTCACTCCCTTTTGTGTACTTTTTTCATCCCCACCTCAAAAACTTTCCTTTGGGACACACCAATTTATGGAGTATGAGAACAAAGGTGGCTGGTACTGTCCTTAAACCTGTGCTTAATGACAGAGGCATGTAAGACAAATTCAGTATCCACTCTGCTTCACATTCCACGGCAGGGAATCTTCTCTCATAGACTTAGTGTGATAGAACAGACTATTGTGGGTGTGATGACAGGAGTTAAGCCCATGACTCATAAGTAACCA